ATGATATTGTTGGCCCTTGGGTTTGACTTGGGGCTAGAATAGGTAAGAAGTATTGTTTTCTTGAGTATCATCTTGTTGATTTTTTGGATAATTGAGGAGAAGTTGACTTTCGTCATTTTTCTGGGATAGTTAGAGATCTCTTGGAGTATTTTTTTGTTATTTCTTATTTCAATTTCGCTGTTGGAGGGACATCAGTGAAGGAGATCAAAGAGAACTTGCAGTAGGTTGTCTGGTGAGAGGCCAAGATTGTTTAGTTTGATTTTGAAGTCATTTACAAAAATATGTTCCTGGTGACTTTGAATATGATATGATTGAGGAAAACCAATTTCCTGAAGTGTTGAGATGGGAGGGGAGTTAGAGAAAATGTCTACTGATTGGAGAATGTGTTCATTTTTTTGGGGAGTTCTTGAGATCTCTTCGATTATATTGCTTAGGCAATACTTGTTAGGATTTGAAGGGTTAGAGAGAACCCATAAGGAGGAAGCTTCTGAGCTTGTGAAGTTTATTGTACAAGAGCCGGCACTTAGGGTACCAGCTGGGCAACCATGGCATTTGATAAGAAAATTGTTGTTATCTATGTTGAAGTGTCTTCCTCTGAGATGGAGGTTTTCCTGAATGTGGTGACATTTTTTGTAGATCTTGACAATATTGTTAGTGTTGTGGATAAACCTGAAAGATGCTTTGTGATTGGGTATTGGTCCGTGGGATCCCAGTAAGTTGCTGTGATTAGTGAAGTTTTTGAACCAACAGGGTTCTGGTCCACAACGAATGATTCCTGTATGAGCTATTAGTTGGAACCAGGAGAGTTTAATCGTGCTGTTGAACTTCATGAGTTGGTTTGTGAACTGGATATTGAGAGCATTGGCAGTGTTGATTGCAGTGGTTCTGGTGTTTGGTTGAAGTTTGGCTAGTAGAAGGCCTATTGAGTTTATCGCATTTGGATGATGGTTTGGGCATTCAGTTGGACAGATTTGGATTTTTAAATTCTTGGCGATTCTGGCGGTGTAGAGTATCCAATTATCTTGATTAAATACTTCTGGATCACAAATTGGGCAGGACCAGATTGCTTCTTTTTTTTGTATTGATCATATTTCCTGTATTATATATTTTCTTGTAGTTGGAGTGGAGAGTTTGGTTATTAGATTACCTATTAGGGATGACCTTTGTCTTTCTTCGAGGAGCGCAATATTAAGGCCACTGTGGCTAATAAGTATTGCATTTGAGCATTTGGAGTTTATTTTGTATGCTGATTTAATAAGTTTGTTGATTTTTGCCTGTAGGTGGTTGAGTGTGGATTTGTTGAGGAAGGTCATTGTAAGGAAATATTCGAATTTTCCCATGATTACCCATTCGCATATTTGCTGTTTGATTTGACCTTTCCAATTTTGTTTGTTTAGTTCTCGTAGAATTGTATCCACTGATTGGCTGAAGGCTTTTCTATTGGTTTTGAGAAAGTTCCTAGGAGAAATGAGCATTCCTAGGTATTTTACGCTTTGATGTGGTTTTAGGACTTGTATTTGGTGATCGCTGAATTTTATAGTATTGAATATCCCCTGTTTGGTCTTGACATTGCTTATGATTTGGGTTTTGTCTTTGTTGCAGGTGATGTCATTGATTGAAAAAAATTGGTTGGCGGTGTTTAGGAGGTTCAATTTGATAATATTCAAGATTCAAATAATGAAGATTATAATATTAATAATAAAAATAAATAATTGGAAACTTTAATCAAAACAACAAAATTCAAATTATTGTATAATATATCTGATATATACACATGATGGTATTCTAGTTACTATTCATTAAAGTGATTATTAGATTTACACGAATCAATTCAATGGTTAGTTATAACATTACTATTACAACAAGACAAAAGTATATAAAATAATATACAAAAATCAAATAGATATCTACTCAAGGCAGAGTAATGGAAATTATTATAAGAAATTGTTAATATTTTAAAGCCTTTGAATCAATGACTACCTTTTTTTTGGATATCAAATATCCAATTATTTTATTAATAATTCTAATAATTGAAACATTTAAAAAAAACTTTTTCAATAATAATAATAATAATATTATTATTATTATTATTAGTAATATTAAAAATAATTTATTTTTTTAATTAATATTTATTTTTTTAATTAACATTTAATTTAATTTAATTGATTATTTTTTAGATCAAACAATTACTTTCAATTCAAATTCAGATAATAAATATTATAATAAAAAGCAATACAATAAAAATAATTAAGCAATTAATTTTGAACAAGTTTTAAAGAAGATGAAATTATAAATTTATTATTTATTAAATTAATATTGGATAAATTCGAATAAAATTGGATTATTGACAACTGTTTTAGATTCTCAACTAAAAGATAAAATTAAAAATATATATATAATATTATTTATTATTTTTATTATTTATTTAATTTTAATTTTATTAAAGATTTAAATTTTTTATTGAATGATCTTAAAGAAATTTCATACAATATATTGTGAAAAAAATATATTGAATTAAAAAAATTTTAATATCAATAAAATATAATTCAAATCAATCAAAAAATAATATATCAAAATTGGAAAATTAAATTTTTGCTGTTATTTTTCAACTGTTACAAGAATTTTTAAATAAAAATTAATTAGATATATACTTAAATAATTGGAAGACACCACAAGCAATCTATATTACAAATCCTTGGAAATGTTGGACAGAACATAAAAATAATTTTTCAATATTAGCCATTTTGACTAAAAAATATTTAAGTATATCTTCTACTTCAGTTCCTTCAGAGCAATTATTTAACAATGCAGAAAATCCTTACAATATTAAAAGATCCTGTTTATTTTCTAATATAGTCAAAAAATTATTATTCATCAAATAAAATAATGATTATATATAAGGATTCAAGGTTTAATCTAATAAATACAATTATCAAATATGCAATTAATCATAAATATACATATATATACAGTATGTATAAAAAAAATTGATCTTTTTAATTATAATTTTTATTTTAAAATTATTTAATAAATAATTAACACAATTGTGCAATAATTATTGTGATAGTATTACATAACCCCCTGCATATTTTGACATATTTAAAGAGCCTTGCTCTATAAAAAAAATTTTTTTAAAAAAATGTCCAACATCAGGTTAACTTCTTAACACCAAACAATTCTTCATTTTTGGAATCAGGGAATACATTCACTCAAGGAACTCCAAAAGCTTACCAACATTTCTCACTCTACAATTAAGTACAATATCTGAAAAATAAAAAAACTAGGAATGCTACATATCTGAGGGCAACGGTTATCCAAAAAAGATCGGATTGACAAAGGTACATGTTCTCGGACATTATATCAACAAGGATAGCTTCTTATTTTTGTGAACTTTGGTCATAAAACTTTCCAGGGATGAAAAGTCTGTATCATACTTAACTGTGGAAGGAAATTAAAAGAGCTTGGTTATAAAAATGCTTTTCCGGTGGGCACTTCAATGCTTACAGACCTTCATAAGAAAAAGCAGGTCAAATAGATGATAAAATATCTTAACGATAGTTGGGAACAAACCTTGTTTTCTGATAAGACAGCTTTTTCTTTATTTAGAAACATGATAAAACAATGGTACAAGGACCATAAACTAATCAGGCCACTTTTTAAAAATAGATAAAAGATTTTTGCTTGGAAGGATTTTGTATCAAAGGCAAGACATCTTTATTTTGCTTTACTAACATCATAAACATTGAATTTTATATTGAAATCTTGTGTCAACACTATCCAGAAATCAGAAGAATGCTTGGTAGGCAATGGAGGTTTCAACAGGACAATGACCCAAAGTATACAAGCCGAATTGCCCAAGAGTTTGTCAACAAGACTTTCCCCGAGATCATTGATTGGCCAGCCAATAGCCTGGACCTTAACTCTATAGAAAGCCTATGGGGTGTCGTTAAAAATAGTGTGGAAAAGTGGTTACCATCAAATCTTGATGAGTTAGAATGTTTCATGATTGAAGAATGGCAAAAAATTCCAACTGATACTTTAGCTAATCTTGTTAAATCAATGAAATGCTGTTGTCAGCTAATTATCGATAATGATAGTGATCGAATTCCTTATTAATGTATTTTTTTTTTTATAAATAAAAATTTAAAAAATTATTAAAAAAAAAAAAGGTCAATTTTTTTTGATACATACTGTATATACTTTACTATTGTTATAAGTTAAATAAATTTATTTTAATTTTTATATAATAGTATATCATTAAATATCATAATTTATTTTAAATAGTATCTATTTATTTAAACTATTAATTATATACAATATAATAAATCTTATATAATAAATAAATTTTTAATTAGTAAAAATAATAATTAACTGTTTAACTGTTTAAACTACTTATTTAAACATTTAATTAACTGGTTAAGGATTTTTTAGCCGGTTTCAAACACACTTTAAAATATCAATATAATGAAAATGAGAGTGTACATAATCCTTAGATTATTTTATCAATTTGTGAAGTCGAAATTAATATCCAGTTAAGGTTAATTGTCTAATGTAATAATTTCTAATTATATCTTGTAATTATTTTTTATTACCGCATTTTTTATTGATATGGCATCAAAAAAATTTTTTTTTGATTATTGAGGTGTATGCTATTAGTCGAGGTTTTTTCATTCATCATAATTATTACTTTGATACATATCAATAGAACAAGGTTAAACTGATGAGCTATTGTTTGGCATTTTGTTCGATACAAAAATATACGATAGTACCCCAATTATAGACCTTATTTTATATACTTATTAATCAAACCTAAATAATATACTGTACGTCAATGACAACATACAGTATAGGATAATTGATCAAATATCATCAACAAGTATAAACTCCAAAGTAATTAAACGAGAAAAGAAATGCCAAATAAAAAGGTTTCCTTTCTTTTTCATTTAAAAAACCCTATAGAAAAAGGAACTAGATAGAAACATCAGTTTATATGATATCAACTAAACAGTCTCTTGTAAAATAATATTGATTCCCTTTTTTCTTATATTCTGAACAAAATCTAATTTCTCATCTGTATATACTAAAGATTCTAACACGATGGTTTTCAATGAATTGCACGCAATACAATCCTCAATTGCTTTAAGGTAACCATAAGAATGATCCTCAATGTCCTTAATATATAAAGTCTCCAATGTATCAGATGATGAAATACTATAGTCTAGTAGAAAATTTCTGAGATAATCCGGGGTAAAGTTGCAACGTAAATATAATTCTTCTAAACTAGAAGGAACATATGTTCCCAGAATATTTAATAATTTGTTTGAACTGATGTGAGATTTAATGACTAATCGGCTTATCCTGGACCCTTTTAAATAATGTAAAAACATTTTCCAGTCGTTTTTGTAAAATAACGTAAATTTAGATATGTTTGGACAGAATTGAAACAAATACTTCATTATTTTCTCGGGTACCTCGTCAGTGCACAAGTTCAACAAATTTTTGTCAGCTTTTTTGATGAGTGCGGCTAAAAATGTATTGTCTCCAAAGCTATTTTTACTAAAAGTCAAACTCTTGAGTTGAATTGGTGATCGTAAAAATATTTCATAGCTTCCGTTCATATTCCAATAACAATTGCATATTTCCATGGTTTCTAGCTTTGTATACTCCGCAATTTTATTCAAATCAACATTTGATAAATTGATAGATTGTAAAGAAAGCGAAGTTAATGATTCCTTCTGAGAGTGTAAATAATTTATTAATCTTCCTTGATCGTAGACAAAATTTTGAATATTCAGCGAAAATGTTTTTAGATTAGACTGTGTGGTTATGATATCGGCCAATGCATCTATAGTCTCGGAACCTACATACCGTTCGATCTTATATTCTAAGCTTTGAATATTAGTACACGATTTCGATAAATTACTTAATAACTCCTTATGATTTGTAGATGACTTAATATGTATTGTCAAACTCCGTAATTGTGAAAATCCAAATTGATAGGAGGAAAATGGAATACCGTTTAAAACATTATAGAAAAATGGTAGCTGAGTAGAATAATAATCTAAGATTTCAATCTCTCTTAAATGGCTAGTTCTCAAGACTAATTGAAGAATAGCGGTCATCATTCTTCTAAGCCTTTTAATAGTTTCATCCTGAAATAAGTTAATCCACATATCATTTATTTTCCAACCTTCCATTATTATTCCTGAAATAGCCGAAAAAGAAAATTTTTCTAAATATGAAGAGTACTGAAACAATGGTTGCGGAAAATCATGACGTTTATCAAACGGGGTTAGGATTTCTTTTTCAACTTCATTTAGTGCTGCAATATAAGTCCTGCACAAAGAATTCCAGTTACTTTCGATACGTTTTTCGACACGTTGAAAAGAGTTACACCACTGTCGAAATGGCCTACGCCATAATATAGGAACCACTAGTTTGCACCAAAAACGATTGACGAATAGACATTTATGAAGAGTTGAATAATTATCTTCAAAATGCAAAAATATCTCTATTATACATTCACATGGAAGATTTTCAAAAGTTTTCATCTTTTTTCTAGTACTGTACAGTACTGTAGCCGATACAGTACTGTATAAATTTCCGAATTTTCTGTTGTACGATATACTATTTTGGACAGGATAACATTAAAAATTATCTGTACGACGTTTAAACTTTTTTTAGGTACAGTACTTTGAGCATCCAATTACAGTATTCCCTTCGCCATACCAACTTGGTTTATTAATTCTTCGTATGCAAAGTCAATTTTTGATTAGAATTAGTTAAAAGACGATAGAATATGCTATAACAATTTTTAATTATGCAACTAATACGACAAGTGTTCTATTGATTACCTTATTTTTAAAATCGGCGGCAGCAGTGATAGTGAATTCAATTCTATCGTTTATTCCCTTGATGTTGGAAATATTAATTAAATTCATTAGCTGTATAAATGGAAGAACACAACAAGCGGATATTCAATTCTTTGCTTTCACACTTAATGTTAGTGAAACCTGGTGTTAACTATTAAAACAAGAAGACTCGATGGCATATTTTAAGTCAAAAACTTAGTATAATTTCAAAGATCAAAGAACTTCCTTACCAAAATATTCATGAAGATGATGAATTTAAAATGATTTTTTAGAACAAGTTTGAATATAGGAATGTTGAAATATTTTTAACTTATACGGTATATTAAAAGTGAAAAATGATTAAACCCAATTCTTTAACTTATGAATTAATTGATTAAATTACCTGTTAAAACCAAAGTTTTTATTGTTATGAAATTTTTTTGAAAAAAAAATTCAAGAGATCTCTGCTTTTAAAAAAAATTATTTCTTATAATTAAACAAAAGTAATAAGAATAATTTGAATTTAATAATTTCTATGTAAAATAAAAGGTCAATGCTTCTGATCATTCTGTAATTATTGTAAAGAGTTTTGAAATAAATCAATAATTATTTTTTTTATCAAAAGATTGTGTTTATTTTATAATATAATTAATGGGTTAAAATAAGCTTTAAAGATTAGTATAATGTTTTACAAATAATTTTTTTAAAAAATTGTTAATTATTTTTCTGTTATACCTTTTGAATTTATTACTGAAAAATATTATAATAAATGTTTTATATCTAATTATTATATCTACTGTAAAAAAATTAAAAAATTATATAGTAAAATTATATAATGTTCTTGTCCAATTAGAATCTAATTAAAGTTTAAGAATTTTTAGATTTTGAAGATTTTTTTTATATATTGTTAATCTCAATAGCAAGTTTGTTACTAATCCAGATCAGAACTTGTACTATATTTAAGAAATGGATTTTTATTATTGGCAATACCAAAGATACTTGTATTAATAATATTTTAATTTTTTTTCTTATAGATTGAGCTCCTTTTCTAGGTGAAAATAGTAATATTGCATTATACTAGTGGCACATCTCAAAAATCATTAATAACAAGTGATTAATATAACTAGAGATAATTTCTATAATAATATTTTATATAATTTTCTCCTGGTAGGCAGCTAAAAAATATAATTGAATCAATAAGAAAAATAGATTTAAACTAATAATAAGACTTTCTTCTTTTTATATAAGCTTTACCTCAATTTGGATTTATTTATATAATATAAAGTTGATTAATTATAATAATTGAATTAATTTAATGGAAACCAGTAGTATTGAAAATAGTATTTACTAGATAACATTAATTTATATTTAAAATAGCAATAGTCTAGTTTGTAAAAATGTTTAATATAATGATAAAATATTAATTATCAATAAAATCTTATAGCTAATACTCTTGATTAATTAAAAAAAGAAAAAAATAAAGTATTTGTTTATATAAGTTTCTCACATATTAAACTTAAAATTATATATTTTTAAAATTGAAATTAAATTATTTATATTAAAGAAGTCAATATAATGTTTATTTTTTTAAAAAAAATCTTTTTTTCTATATTGTTACTGCCTAGAAAAAGCAAAATAAAAATTATATCAATTTAAATTTGTAGTAAGTAGAATATTTCTATAAAATAAATAAAAATAGGAATAGAATAAAAAAGAAAAAAAGAAAATAATCAAATAAAAAAGAAAAAAAGAAAATAATCAAATAAATATTAAAATAAGTTAAAAGGGGGAAAAATTCACAAGTTAATATATTGAAGATTTCAGTTTCTTTCTTAACAGATTTCAAAATTTTTGCTAAAAATAATTTTTAATTCTTAATGATTTTATTTATTCAATATATGTTTTGTTTTAGACATTATTAAACAAATTAATATAAACAATTCAAAATTACTGTTTCAGTTAATTTTACAACTTTACCTTGATATTAAATCAAAAAATAATATATAAAAATAGAATTTCAATAGAAAAACAATAAATATATATATATATATATATGAGATTATTATAATTTTATTAAAAAAATTAAAGAAAAATTGGAATTCATGGCCCAATTCCAAATCCTAAGACAATGTTTTGGTTTCTGCACAATATCAATACAATCATTAAAACTCACAAAAGATATATTTCAATAGACAGAAAAACACTACTTAGAGACAAACATTTTACTATAGACAATAATCTCACTAGATGTTCGAGCTGTCTGATTGGCACATCCTTCCATGATTTCTGTTGGATACTATTCATGTACACATCAGCATTCACATTATGGATCTTTTTTAACCCTTTCAACAGATTCAAATACTGCTTGTTCAATATAATCGATGAAGTTGTCAACTCACCTCCTAATAACAAACATATCTTTCAAGAAGTTAATATTTCTATCCATCACTCTCTCTAATCATTACTACAAGATCTTGGCTCGCAACAACATTATCACATCCAATTACACAAAAATAATCTATTTATAAATAAAATCGAAATAAAACCACTCAACTTCTACTTACCACCAGGCAACATTCTACTGGCAATCTTTGATATCGTTTAAGGAATTCTAGCTCACTCCACTATTGAAATCTGAAGCAATAAAAAAATCCTTTAATTAGTACCTGAGTACCCGAGAAGAATAGTTATAATCAACTTTTCCTTGTTATCCTAGAGAATAAATCAATATATATAACAGAAATCCATAGAAATTATATATATCAAACCTAAGTTCAGACCAATATCAACCAGAACTATTCAATGAAACAATTATCCATTACATTTTCCTGAAAATTCCCTAATCTATGATACTTGCCTAGAAAGTAGCATTAGATGGTGCAAGAAAATTTTTAGCATTATCTGAGACTATATGGTATGTGAATGCTCCTTAGTCATCTAAACGTTCAGACAAACACATACTCTGCATGGTTTAAAAGTCATCAACCAATCTAACAAAAATATCAGAAAGCTTCATAACAACAAGTACAGCACCCTAATAGCTTTCAGAATTAAACTGCTCTTGAGAATTCTTCCAATTCATCTTATACTCTACCAACTATACCCTAACCAATACTCAGATACTCTCTGTCCATAATGCAAGCTCTGCACTGAAGATATTCAACATGTTTTTAAATATCTGGAAGCATTACAACCAACTGAACAAATTATAAAAGCTATTAATCAGACTCTCCATCCAGACAATAATCACAAACCAGTCCTACACATATGGCAAGTTGTCAAATTATCATGTGGAGTCACAGACAAAATCTTTTCCACTTCAACCTCTACCAACTGGATCAAGGTAGCAATAGAATCTTTAATCTTATATGATCTAATTTGAAAACCACATTGCTTCACAGCCAACATCTCATCTCTTACTGGAATCAAGTGAAACCATACTAAGTCATATAATTCAATCAACTCCACCAATCCAGAAATCAAAAAAATCCTGCAAACTAAAGACAACTCCAATAACTCACAAGACAATATTATTATTGACTTATCTTCTACTGTTTCTAATTCATTTATCCAATCTAAATATAATTACTTCAAATGTATTTATAGCTTAACAACTTTATCTGCTAATTTCAACTCTATTTCCTCTAATGCTAAGTAGGTATTCATAGCTGCTCAGTGCCATCCAGCAAGATATATTGTTTTAAACTTTCTTTTCAATATTAGTCATATAGTTACTGTAGGCAAGCTAGCATTTAACTCATTGTACTAACACATAAGAGATGTTGTTTCTTTCATGATGTATACCATGCTATATACAAATCAAATAAAGAAATGATATTTATCTACAAAAAAAAAAATTAAAGAAAACTACAAGAATTTAGAATTTTATAATTATAATAATTTTTTTCATAGCTAAAAAAAACAGTTTTTTACAATGTTTTAATCAATTAAAAGTCCTTTATACTTTAATTATTTATATATAATTTATCTATTTATACAAAAGAATTGACTAGAAAATTATTTGTTCCACTTAGAATAATTATCAAAAAAAATTCTTATCTATAAGAAAAAAAGTGTCATTACTTAAAATATCAATATTTTAATAACTAAAGTTGTTCTTTTAGTCTTTTATAAATAGTTTTGTAAAATTTTAATAAAGTATTACAATCAAGTTTATGAACTACAGCACTTTAAATTTGCTATACTATTATTTAAAACTATATAGAAATTTTGAGAATTCTTATAGAAAAAAAGAAATTATTATATTAAAATTATAACTAAAAATAATTAATATTGATAAATATTAATAATACATAATAATATCTATCTAAAATTAATAAAATTTTCAAAAATTTAAAAAAACTTTTCTGATCTCATCTGTTTTGTTAAAAAATTTTCTTTTATAGCAATTTTAAACAAAAAAAATGTTTTATACTCTTTATTGCAAGTAAGCTTTAGCTCAAGAACTCAAAAATCCTCAAAACAATTGATACAGTGGAATGAAACCTCTGGTTGAAGTCTACTCAAGCTTAAAAGTCTTGCTTATTCTTCAGTTACATAAGAAAAGACACATAACAATTCTCTTTTCTTTTGTTCTCTTACACATGTTCTTACTCTTATTATATTATAAAAACTATTTATATTAATACTATTATACTTGCTAAACAAAACACTTTTCAAAAAATACATTCAAACAAAATTATTGGATCTAATATTTATTTCAAGTTAACTTTTATACATAACATCACTATAATAATATTTATTGTGCCATTTTCAAATTTTCAAAACTTTTTACTCAAAAAACCAAAATCAATTTACCCCTCTAGATAATTATTACTCTTCAATCATTCAATCATATTTAATCAAAATATCAAAAACAAAAACCAAACCTGTTTAAACTGGTTTTTAATAAAATAACAATAATAACAACAACTCTAAACAATATTAACTATGCTATAATTTCTTTGTTATTGAAATATATGCCAACAATTGGAAAACTTATTAAACTTTGATTTCTACAACTGGACAAGAGGTTATCCTGGAAACATAACCTTTATTGTCAAAAACCTTATTGTTTATTTGATTTAGTTTCAGTTCTAGTTATTTTTTATTATTGTATATATTTTTATTTATTGTTTTCTTTTTTATATTTTATCTCCAAGGTTCAAAAGATTTATAAAATTTTTCAAGTAGATAGGTATAGTTACTACTTCTTTATCTAATACTTTAATATTGCTTTTGAAATTTTTTTTTAATATTAATTAGATATTGTAAAATAAGTAAGCTAGAATTTAACTTTCTATATTTTGTAAGTAAAAAATATTGTTTTTTTCACAATATATATCTTGATATATACAAATTAAATAAAAAAATGATATTTATCTACTGGAGAAAGCCTCTCTCCCAAAATAATAAAATTTTAAAATTTTTAGTAATAATTTACAATTTTTTTTATAAAAATAGCTATTTTAGAAAGTTTCTTTTTTTAAAAAAATTTTGACTATTGAAATATATTTTTGAGAAAAAAAATATAATAAAAAAACAATTATTAAATAGTGAAATTCAGAAATCAAATATAGTTCTTGACATTTCAACAATAGTTTATTTAAAAAGATTTAAGCCAGCAATAGTTTTGATTAATAACTTGAAAAAAATAATAATCACTTTTTTTATAATTGGCTTTTTTTATATAAACAAATAAAAATTCCATATATAAATCTTCTTTTCAAACAATTATATTCTAATCAAAAAACTGTATTTTACCTTTTTAAAGTTTTTGTTTTTGTTAATATTAACTAATACTATATTTTTTATAATCTTTTAGTTAATTATTATAAAATATTAATACTATTTTTTATAATATAATAAAAAAATTAGTGATCAAATTTTATTAAAAAAGTAAATGGCTTAAAATAAAACTACAAAATTATTTAAATAAAAAGTTATTTTAAAGTTTTATAAATTGCAAAGTTAATAAAAATATCAAGTTTAGTTAAATAATTCATTTATTAACTTATTTTGGAAAAATCAATTTTAAAAATTTTAATAAATTTATTTTGGTTTCAAAAGATTCAAAAGATTAATTTATTTTAAGAAGTTTATTTTATTAATATTAACCAATCAAGTTTTATCTACAGTGGTACCCAAAATTTTTTAAAAAATTAAAAATTGTATTATTATTTAATAAATATCGATTTAAAAAATATATATAAATTAAAATAAATCTTTTAGTATTAATAAATAATTTTAATTAAAAGATTTTTATATTAATTAGTAATATTATCTAAATATTATTTTTTTTTTCTAATGTCATGTTTTGAAAAATATATTCATTTTATATTATTTATTATAAAAAAACATATAAAATCCTATAAAAACTTGAATTTTATGAAAATCAAGTCATAAAATTAATATATAACATAAAATTTTTAATTAAAAATAATTATTTAAAATAATAATAATAATATGATCTATAAACTAGTTATAAATAAAAGTAACTTTATAGTATTCATGTATTTATATTTAAATTTGGATTTAATTTTAATAAGTTTTTATTGAGTTATACATATTAAAAAAAATTTCAAATAATTTGGGGTACTCCTGTATATCATCCTTACCCAATTGAGGTTTAATTGGGACTTAAGAGATTTTTGGGATTTTTGAAATTTTTAGAATTTTTGGGATTTTTAGGATTTTTCTAACATGTATAAAAGAAAGAAATGTACTAAAGAAACAAGCAACAATAAATTATCCTTTAAAAGTTACAATTCAGATTATTATCTAACACTCTCACTTACTTCATGCCTCATATTCATGTCTCTGTTCAATGTTACATAATCAATTATCACAACGTAGTGACAGACTCGCTGTTACAACTCCACAATAGATATATTTGAGAAATGTAAAAGCATATAGAAGTTATAATACAGCAAGTTTTAATATTGTTTTTATGGTATTTCTATTAAATTGTTTATTTATCAGATATAGTTTTTTATTGTAAAAATGTTTTTGTATATTTGTAAATGTGTATTAGATCAGGAAAATGATTATTATATTAATTTAAGAAATAGCGATGTCAATTAATTGTATTTTTAGAATTTCAGAATCTAGTTTATAAATAGTAAAAAACCTAAAGTATTTATATTAAATTAAAATATTTTTTAAAAAATACTCTTTAATTAAAATATTCTTAATTTAGAAGCGCAATTTATGGTGAAAGTCTATAATTTTTAATTAACGAGCAAGCAATTCGAGTCATAATCAAAGAGAACGGATTGTAATTTTTAAGAACAAGGCGTTGGTCAAATTGAATCACATTTCTCAAGTAGAAAATAAATCTTTAATTTACCCGGACATTACATGATTTTTTGCTTGAATTAACAATTGACTTGGCAACATAAATATCACAATAGCTATCTTCAACCAGCAATCACAAAACAACTAAGGTAGATTTATTTCAATTACCGAGATGCATATTTATGACCAAATGTTTATTTATTTATTACTATCATATTATAATATATATCAATACATGTTTAACTAAAAAATCATGAATTTACTTTTGTTAAGCATTTTATATAGCCTAAAAGGAAATACTAATTATAGACCTTATTTTGTAATGTTTTTGCTGAAACAATCACAACTTTATCAATGCAATTTTCCCTCTAACTATATACAGTATATGATCAATTCTTAAATAAAACTTTGTAGTGTTATAATCTTAATGATACCATAATTTATATTATTATAGTGACAAATATGAAATTTGAACCGTTTTATTTATCTGTTGGAAAATGAAAAATGATATACTTTAATAATAACATACATAATAATTGACCAAATATTATATATAAAACTCAAGGTAATTAAAAAAAGATAAAGACAATAAATGTTAAAGAAAATGATTCCTTCCTTCCTCATCTAAAGAGCTCATATAAAATAAGTAATTTAGTAGAAACATCAGTTTATACGACGATGTAAGCTAAACCGCCTCTTGCAAAATAAGATTAATTCCCTTTTTTCTGATATTCTGAAATAAATCTAATTCATCGTCTGTATATATAAAAGATTCTAGCACAATAGTTTTCATTAAATTGCATGCAATACAAGACTTAATTTCCTGAAGGTAGCCATAAGTGTGATCATATCTGTCCTTGATATATAAAGTCTCTAATGTATTTAATGACAGAGTACTATAGTCATGTAGAAAATTTCTGAGATATACCGGGGTAAAATCACAACGAAGAAATATTTTTTCTAAGCTAGAAGGAACATGTTTTCCCAGAGAAAACAATAATTTGTCTGAATTGATGTGAGATTTAATGACTAATTGCCTTATCCTGGACCCTTTTAAATAACACAAAAACTCCTTACAGTTCCCTTGGTAAAGTAACGTAAATTTAGATACGTTTGGACAGAATTGAAACAAATACTTCATTGTTTTCTCGGGTACCTTGTCAGTGCACAATTTCAACAAATTTTTGCCAGCTTTTTCGATGAGTGCATCTAAAATTGTATTATCTTCGAATCTATTTTTACTAAAAGTCAAACTCTTGAGTTGAATTGGTGATCGCAAAAACATTTCGTAGCTGCCCTTTATAGTCCAATGACAATTACATATTTTCATGGTTTCTAGCTTTGTATACTCCGCAATTCTATTCAGATTAATAATTGATAAATCAATAAAATAGATAGAAAGTGAGGTTAAAGATTCCTTCTGAGAGTGTAGATAACTTATAAGTCTTCCTTGATTGTAGACGATATTACAATTATTCAGCGAAAACTTTTTTAGATTAGACTGTGTGGTTATGATGTTGGCCAATGCGTCCATGGTCTCGGAATCTATATGTTGTTCGATATTATATTCTAGCCTTTGAAGATTAGTACACGATCTCGATAAATTACTTAATAACCCCTTATGGTATGTATGTGAATTACAATGTATTGTCAAATTACGTAATTGTGAGAATCCGAGTTGATAGGAGGAAAATGGAATAATGTCCAAAACATTATAGAAGAATGGTAGCTGAGTAGTATAATAATCTAAGATTTCAATCTCTCTTAAATGGCTAGTTCTCAAGACTAATTGAAGAATAGCGGTCATCATTCTTCTAAGCCTTTTAATAGTTTCATCCTGAAATAAGTTAATCCACATATCATTTATTTTCCAACCTTCCATTATTATTCCTGAAATAGCCGAAAAAGAAAATTTTTCTAAATATGAAGAGTACTGAAACAATGGTTGCGGAAAATCATGACGTTTATCAAACGGGGTTAGGATTTCTTTTTCAACTTCATTTAGTGCTGCAATATAAGTCCTGCACAAAGAATTCCAGTTACTTTCGATACGTTTTTCGACACGTTGAAAAGAGTTACACCACTGTCGAAATGGCCTACGCCATAATATAGGAACTACTAGTTTGCACCAAAAACGATTGACGAATAGACATTTATGAAGAGTTGAATGATTATCTTCAAAATACAATAATATCTCTACGATACATTCACATGGAAGATTTTCAAAAGTCCTCATCTTTTTCTAGTACAAAATTTGGGCTGTACGTATTGTACGTAAATACAGTAGCATATTGTATTAAATTGTGCTACAGTATACAATATATATTTTTTCCATTCTGTACGACGTTTACCTTTTTTAGTTTGGTTTCTGAGTAACATTCAATTTTTCCTTCTGTCACATGTAAGGGGCTATCCAAACCCTTCTCTACTACTAAGGTTTTTAAGGCTGAGGCACAATATTTAGTTCAAGTTTCTCTCTCAAACACTACAAAACAAACTCACAATTCATCAATACACAGTTATTTTGGAACAACTACTCAAACTTTCTATTAGTTTCTGTTGTAGAAGCTTCTTTTTTTTACTTAAATTTTTATCCAGTTTCAGTTATAGAAGTTTTCTTCTACTCAAATTTTCACTCAGTTTCTATTATAAAAATTTTCTTCTTTATTAGAGATTTGATTTTTTCTTTATATACATGTTAGTTTCATAGTAAAATTATAATAACTATTCTAATTATTTCTACTATAATTACTATATCTACTATTTAAACTATAATCAAAAAAAGACACAATTAAGAAAAGAAATAAAAGAAACAAAAAAAATATAGCAAAGATAACTCATATTTGAGAGATTTGCGATTATCATGATATCAGTTAATATGATAATGCAAATATTCTCTCACATATACTATCCTTATAATTAATTCTTTAAATACATATTAAGTGTTTGATTAATATTGTTCACCCTTGACCTAAATAGATTTAAAAAAATAGAATTTTGATAGTCCTGTAACAAATAAATAATAGGTGTTCTATTAATTATCTTATTTTCAAAATTGGTAGTAGCAGTAATAATGAATTCAATTCTATTAATTGTTTCCTTAATGTTAAATAAATTATTTAGCTGTATAAAAATATCAGAACATAATAAATTAATATTCAGTTACTTGTTTTCACACATAATTTAAAACAGTAGCTATAAATTAAAAATTAAAAGACTCAAGAGCAAGGATGTATTTTAAATAAAAGATTATTTAAAAAATTTGAAAACCTTATTGTAATAATTTCAAAGAATAAAAAAACTTTTTTATTTAAGTATTTATAAGGGTAATAAATTTTTACAATTTTTTCATATCAATTTAGGATAAAGAAGAGTCAAAAAAATTTTAGGCTTATACATTAGAAATAATAAATAATTGAATTCAATTCTTTTAAATTATATTAAAACTAAAATTTATTAGTTTATTGCTTAATTCTTTAATATATTAATATAATTAATTAATAAAGTAACTATGGAAATATATATCCAAAAAACATTTGCCTAAATTTTTTAATTATTTATTTTCTTACCATATTGTAAGATTACATGGCTATGCTTATTCTAATGACATACTTGCAAAAAGATGTTTACTTTATTGGTACATTATAAAAATTACAAGATTATATTTCTCCAAATGATACTTTATAGAAATATACAGCTACAATTTCCTAATTTATTGATTTCATAATTTAAACTCAATACACTAACATATTACAATATGTCCAATTATTTTCAAATTTCATTAGCATGTTGTGGAAAAGTACTCAGCTATCTTTTAATTTCTGAAATATTTTTACTGATCAAGATTAATTGACAGTAATAAAAAGTATAATTATATATAGTATATATTACTATTTATAATAATGGAGAGTTAGACAAATATAGTAGCAGAAAAAAAATATAAAAACATTATATATTTGAATATCTATAGCTTTATTTATTTTTTATATAATTATATTAAAATTTTTAAGTTTAAGATTATTTGTTCAACTAGTCTTGATTTATTAATTAATTACAATTATATCATTTTTACTTTTAATAACCTTTCAGTAACTTTGTCTTAATCAATTCTATTATTCTTGCTTAAATCTCAAATATATCAATATGATTAATTAATAAAGTAACTATAGAAACAAAAAGAAAATTTTTGTAATGTAATAGGATTGTTAAAATCTCATCTTAGATGATATGTCAATTGATATTAAATAAAGTAAGATTACTTTTAATGGCCATTTTTCAATTGCTATTATTTAGAAAAGAATAGGTTTTGCTTTTATATCTATAGTTGCTTCTCCATTACAAGAATATGGCTTGCATATTTTCTTTTTAATTCAGTATTATTTGTAGCTTTCTTCAAATTGTACTTATAATATCATACTTAATTTGTTTTATATTAATTATAAAAAAGTTTAATTGCTTTTAAAGTTATTACTAATATTGATATAGTTTTTTATAAATATAATAGGCAATATTTTAAAACTATGGATTCAATATAAATGAATTTCTATTTCTCCAAGCTGATTTTTTTTATTAATTTATTTAAATTTATAAAAAATTAAATTCCTTTTTAAAATCTTTTAAGATTAGTTAGTTTTCTAGCTCTTTTCATTGTTCAGGTTCCAATAGTATTAACCTATAGCTATAAACCTATAATAGTTTGTCTATCTTTCCAAAAATCTATTTAAATAATTTTTCAAAGTTGATTTTAATAGTAGATCTTATAATTATTTTGCTTTATAATATTATACTATTGTTTTTACAAAATTTAACAAATTCCTCTACTTTTTAATTGCATAAAAAATCTGGAAATTTATTTATTTTATATTGTTTTAAAATTGTTATAAGAATAAAAAAATAAAATAAGTGATTTAAATTATTATTATTTTTTTTTTTAAATATGAATAAGTATAAAATATGAGACTTTATTTACTAAATAATAGTACTGTCATTATATTAAGTATCCATTAAAGTTAATTCTAGCCTATTATATTTTTATTCCAATATATTAACCATACCATATAGGTGGATCCATATGCCAAGTGGAAAGCATCAAGAAGGTGAAAATCCTGCCTCCAGTTTTAAACTACCTGATCTTGTGTTTTCAGTTTTTGTAAAGGTCCAACTGTGATTTAGCATGTTAGTCATTATTAGATTCTTTTTTATATTTTTATTGACTACTT